ATACTTGTAAACCAAAGCATCTTTACCTTGTGAAACTATTCAGTTCTATTTTACGCATTTACCTTCCAACCATATTGCTTTGCTTGGGGTTTTATAAGAATCTAATTTAATTAATGTCTGCATTTAATTAATGTCTGTTCAGCTCATGAAAAAAGGTAAACAAAGTAAAAATCACTTAAATATCCACGGAAGTAAACAATCACTGTGCGGTTTTCACATATATTTAACTCTAAGTACTCAAGTTAGGTAGCCAACAAAAAAATAAGACAATCCACATATGTTTGCAGCTTAACTTTATTCAACTGTTGATAGACTGGATTTCCTTTAGGGCAATAAACACATGTCCACATTGTCATTTCTAACAGAGCCACAGTGCATAGATGCAATGTAGCTTATTTTGTCAACTCCCACCAATGGACATTTATATTCTTTCCAAATGTTTGCTAGTCACAATCCATGTGTGGTTATGTGTATATAATTTTGATTTTTTTTTTTACTTAGCAAATCCTTTTTATTGAAAGCTGCAGGGCCAGGGATTTAGCTCAGTGGTTCCGGTGCCTTCCTCACAAGCGCAGGGACCTGAGTTCTAGCCTCGATACCAAAAAGAAAAAAAGAAAAAAAAAGAAAAGAAAAGAAAGCTGCAAACTTAAATAGATATCATTCCAGAAAATCTTAGCTTGTACATGTCACATGTAAAACACTGTTAGGGAGTAAAAAAAATGATTAAGATTAAACTAGCTCCTGATCTCCTCTGCAGAGTTTTTAATCTAGAAGAGTGACAGCTAGCTACACAGACAATAAGGAAACAAAATACTATAATGAAGAACTGTTAATTGAGCATGGAATGGGTAGTTTCACATAAACTATGATTGATCCTCATTTAAAACAATAATTTTTTAAAACAATAATTTTGTACTCAAGTAATTTTAAAAAATGACAGAAAAGAAACATATATAATCCCAAGGCACCATGCCAAGTTCTTTTTTTGTCATAGTAATAACATGTAACATTCTTATAGCCATGAAGATAATAAAACATCCTCACAATAAGCCAGTAGGGATCACAGATAAGACAAATGAGGCTGAGAACAGGAAGGTGAATGACAGGAAGTGAACTATTATCAGGTCCACCAGGGAGTTAATATTTCCAATGGAACACAAGCTCCGTGACTGCAAAGACCTGGCCTTACTGTCCACTGATTCTGGGTCCCTAGAATATTGCTGGCCACAAAGATCTGTGTTCAATAACCAGCTGCTGAATACATAAAACCCCACTTTATAGATGAGGAAACTGAGGCTCAAAAAGACCAAGGTCAGACTACTACTAAACCAAGGCTCAAACTCGGTATCCTTTCTTGTCTGAAAGTCTGGTTACTAGCTGAAATTTGTAACACTTAATGATATAGAAAAATTGCTTCAGATGTATAATTTGTATTCATCTTTATATTTTAATTATATCAAATAGAAAAAGAATGCAATTCATCTTGAAAGGAATCAGCTGAATAATATATCAGACATACGACAAAGTTTAAAAGTCTTGCCATTTTAAGTGAGGGGGAGACAGAACTTTCAATTTTTTTGTTAATGTAAATTCAAAATAATTGCAACAAAACAGCAAAATTTATTCACATAATCTCTTATGTGAGGGAAAAAACACCAAGGATTACTTTAATTGCTACTGTGCAGATAAATGCTACAAATCATCCCCTATCCAATCATTAAACCTAGTTATTCACAAAAGTAAATGCAGAATAGCTTTTTCTGAGCTGTAGGCCACTACTTGATTTTAACTACTACGATGCTCTATGAAAAACAATGATTTTCTTTTAAAAATCTACTTCAAAATGCCCACTATTACTATGAAAAACTAAAATACATCTATTAAAATAGCAATGTAAACTAAACAATGTAAATGGCAATGAATCCCCCTACCAAAGTGCAAAACATGTCAATAATTCAATAAATGTAGAGTTTATGAAACCAGAATGTAACTTACTTTCTGCCAACTGATATTACTGTTCCCAAATATTTATATTTCCTGTGTGGTATCTAGTCATACACATTAACACTTTCACATCTAAACTCACAGTATGAAAATATTTGAAAGGTGGACAATTCATGAACTCCCTCACAGCAAGTACATTATAAAATATTCTGAACTGAAAACGTGGACAGCAACAAGGTCCTAGATGCATCTGAAGATCTTGTTTTTCTCCAAGTAAAACTTCTGCCAATTTATTAAAGTGTTTTACCAATCAGACTGCTTACCCAACAAGAATAAAACTTTAAGAGGACAAGAACTCTGGAGTTTAGCTAGAATTTAGTCTCATGTTTTTCCATTCACTGTAGTACAAAAATAATGGAAATACATCCAGAAAAACATTCAGTTAACTCTGGGAGTAATGAGTTTGGTCTCTGTCTAGAACATGTGAAATTCAGGGATAAAAAGTTAAAATCTCATTGTAATCAATGGCTCCACTTTCCTTCTGAACTCAATCTTTTATTGGGATATTTCATAAATTTCTAGATCTTCCCTTCTCCTGAATTCTAAAATTATGCTAATAAATACCTTCTGAGAATGTTCTATATAAAATATATTTTTTGGGCCAGGGATTTAGCTCAGTGGTTCCACTGCCTGCCTCGCAAGCACAAGGTCACGAGTTCGATCCCAGGTACCAAAAACAAAGAAAAAAGAAAATTACATTTTTCTAATACTGGCACCTAACTTCATCTCAGTTCCTATCAACCCTTCGATGACATCTTCATTTTACATATAATTAAAGTTCAGAAAAGCTAAGTAATTTTGCCCTGGTTAAAGACATGTCAGAGAGGAAGTCTGCATCTGAACTAAAATTTTTAGACTTCTCCAAAATTGTACTCTATCACTTTACTTGGTAACTACATACTGCCCTTATAGTACATTTGTACCATGGTCTTTCTTATGTTTCTTAATTTTTCCTATATTCACATCTTTAAGAGCAACAACTATTTTGTGTGCTTTGGTATTTCAGAGCGTCTTTTAGAAGAACGATTCAAGTTGTTTACATGACAGAAATATGACAAGGCTGTGTAAGTTTGGGCAATTTTTAAGAATTCTCAGATTCTGTTATAAAATGGCTATCGAGTATTTACTATTAAATGTTTCCAAGGGGCGGGGATTTAGCTCAGTGGTTTCGCCACCTGCTGCGCAAATGCAAGGACCTGAGTTCGATCCCCCCCCCACACACACAAAAAACATTCGGGCCGGGGATTTAGCTCAGCGGTTTCACCGCCTACTGCGCAAGCGCAAGGACCTGAGTTCAATCCCTGGTACCAAAAAAAAAAAATGTTTCCATGTATGGACCCATTTAACCCTTACACAGCACTGTAAGATCGGTACACTGCACCCACTGTAAAGATGAAAAATCCAAAGGAGAGAGACACTGTCTAACTTCACCAAGAATAAAGTTAAGAGATAGATGGAGAAGGGCCAGGCTTTAAAAGCCAAGTTATCCTGTCTAGAGTGCCTACTTCATTAATGTCAAAACTACCCCACTGAGACTATATAGTGACTACATGAAATCATGGCAAACTACAAGTCTGAAAAGGGGCTAATATCTAGAATATAGAAAGAACCCCTCTAACTCAGTCACAAAAACCAAATAAACTTATGTCAAAATGGGCAAATAACTCGAACAGACATTTCTCCAAAGATATATACAAATAGCCAACAAACAAGAAGAAATGCTCCACAGCACCCAACTTCTGAGAAATGCAAATCAAAGCCACATTGAGACCTCACCTCAGGCCCACTAGGATGGCTCCTAGCAAAACAAAAAAAGGAAGAGTTGTTGAGGATGCTGAGCAACTGGAACCCTGCTCACTGCCACCAGGAATAGAAAATGGTGCAGCCACTAAAAGGAAACGGTAGGGAGGTTCTTCAAAACTTAAAAGTGGAGTTACCATCTGATCCAGTATCCATTTCTGGGCATATAATTTATATAACTAGAATTGAAAGCAGGATTTTGCTTGTCCATGTTCACAGTACCATCATTCACAACAGCCAAGACAGAAGAATGAACACATACAACGGAGTATCCAGTATTTACAATAAATAGAATGTGTCAAATGCTACAGCATGCATGAATTTGAGGACAGCATGCAAGTGAGATAAGCCAGTGACACAAACACAAATACTTTATGATTCCACTTACAGTAGTCGCTAAAGTAGTCAAATCCATAGAAACACAAAGTAGACTGGAGGTTGCCGGGGGAGCTGTTTAATTGGTACAGTGTCAATGTGGTAAAATGAAAAAGTTCTGACGATCTCTTGCACAGCGTGCATATACTTAATACTATCTTGCACTTTTTTTCCTGAACTGACACAGTGTTCAATGGTCATAAAGGATAACGGTAGAGGACAGGAAAAAGCAGAAAGCACAAGGGCTTCAACAACGTAGAAGAAATTAACAGATTAAGCAGCTAGCCCCGATCTCATTAACTTATCAATAATTTCCTTCTTAGCCCGGAAGTACTGTGAATCTCAGAGATGTCCTACAGGCAGGCAATAGAGTACAGTGGCTAAAGGCCCTCCGAGAGTGATTTTGACTCTGTCACCCGTTGTTGCGTGACCTTGATATTTTCATTCATTCATTCCTTCCCTCATTTATTCATTCATTCACCAAAAGGCCTTTCAGGGGAGTGAACCTGGTCAGAGGAGTCCTGTGCCTCTCCACTGACTGTTGGGAGGAATGAATGAAAGAGCCGTGGCCCACGCCGGGCCCGTCTCGGGCATCTGAGGGTGCTGGTTAGGATATCCGGAGCTCAGCCCAAAGGGGCTCGGGCCGAGCCAGAGATTTATGTAACGAGCTCACGGCGCTACTCAGCGATTGCCGGTCCCGCCCCCCGCTCCCTCCCGGGAAAAGCCGTGTCATCCCGGTGTCCGCTGGGTCCCGGGCCTGCGGTAACGGCGGCCCGGGGCGGGGGCCGTGGTCGGGGTTGGGGTCGGGCCCGGGGGCTCACCGCGCGCAGCGGGCAGCGGGTACAGCCGCTCGGCCTTCTGCAGGAAGCGCTGGGCCCTGTCGCGGTCTCCGGCGCCCAGGGCCTCGCGCGCGATGCGCACGCACCTCTCCGCCTCGTCCCGGTTCCCCTCCATGCCGGCCGCGGCAAGGGCCGCGGGAGACGGGAGCCAGAGGG